GAAAATTCATCAGTTTGCAGGTGATGGTGGTAGAAATGCATTACAAATAAAAGTATAGCTATTAAATTAAATTCAATAAACTATTGATTAGTTACTTATTAGGGCTATCAAATATATAGCATAAGTGTAATCATGCCCTCTCCCTCACCCTTGTCAAGCATCTTAAGTAAATCCCATTACTCTTTTTTATTGGATTCAAATAAAGTCTGGGGTCTTTCTTCATCAGTTGTTCAACCAGTACCCATCAGTTGGACATTGGACATAAGATGAAACCCTTATGTTATCAGGGGTCTAGTTTCTTGTCAATAAGAATGAGGTAAAATTTCATAGTATTGGTTCAAGGAATACTTTAAAAAAATTTTTATTAACATATAATGTATTATTTATTTCAGGGGTACAGCTCTGTGATTCATCAGTCTTACACAATTCACAGTGCTCACCATAGTACCTACCCTCCCCAATGTCCATCACCCAGCCACCCCATCCCTCCTACCCCCTCCACTCCAACAACCCTCAGTTTGTTTCCTGAGATTAAGAGTCTCTTATGGTTTGTCTCCCTCTCCAGTTTCATCTTGTTTCATTTTTCCCTCCCTTCCCCAATGATCCTCTGTCTTGTTTCTCAAATACCTCATATCAGTGAGATCATATGATACTTGTCTTTCTCTGATTGACTTATTTTGCTTAGCATCATACCCTCTAGTTCTATCCACATCATTGCAAATGGCAAGATTTCATTTTTTGATGGCTGCATAGTATCCCATTGTATATATATACCACATCTTCTTTATCCATTCATCTGTTGATGGACATCTAGGCTCTTTGCATAGTTTGACTGTTGTGGACATTGTTGCTATAAACATTGGGGTGCACGTGCCCCTTTGTATCCCTACATTTGTATCTTTGGGGTAAATACCCAGTAGTGCAATTGCTGGGTCATAGGGTAGCTCTATTTTCAACTTTTTGAGGAACCTCCATACTGTTTTCCAGAGTGGCTGCACCAGCTTGCATTCCCACCAACAGTGTAGGAGGGTTCCCCTTTCTCCACATCCCTGCCAACATCTGTCGTTTCCTGACTTGTTAATTTTAGCCATTCTGACTGGTGTGAGTTGGTATCTCATTGAGGTTTTGATTTGGATTTCCCTGATGCTGAGCGATGTTGAGCACTTTTTGATGTGTCTGTTGGCCATTTGGATGTCTTCTTTGGAAAAATGTCTGTTCATGTCTTCTGCCTATTTCTTGATTGGATTATTTGTTCTTTGGGTGTTGAGTTTGAGAAGTTCTTTATAGATTATGGATACTAGCCCTTTATCTGATATGTCATTTGCAAATATCTTCTCCCATTCTGTCAGTTGTCTTTTGGTTTTGTTGACTGTTTCCTTTGCTGTGCAAAATGTTCTTATCTTGATGAAGTCCCAATAGTTCATTTTTGCCCTTGCTTCCCTTGCCTTTGGCAATGTTTCTAGGAAGAAGTTGCTGTGGCTGAGATCAAAGAGGTTGCCGCCTGTGTTCTCCTCAAGGATTTTGATGGATTCCTGTCTCACATTTAGGTCTTTCATCCATTTTGAGTCTATTTTTGTGTGTGGTATAAGGAAATGGTCCAGTTTCATTCTTCTGCAGGTGGCTGTCCAATTTTCCCAACACCATTTGTTGAAGAGACTGTCTTTTTGCCATTGGACATTCTTTCCTGCTTTGTCAAAGATTAGTTGACCATAGAGCTGAGGGTCCATTTCTGGGCTCTCTATTCTGTTCCATTGATCTATGTGTCTGTTTTTGTACCAGTACCATACTGTCTTGATGATTACAGCTTTGTAATAGAGTTGAAGTCTGGAATTGTGATGCCGCCAGCTTTGCTTTTCTTTTTCAACATTCCTCTGGCTATTTGGGGTCTTTTCTGGCTCCATACAAATTTTAGGATTATTTGTTCCATTTCTTTGAAAAAAGTGGATGGTATTTTGGTAGGGATTGCATTAAATGTGTAGATTGCTCTAGGTAGCATTGACATTTTCACAATATTTGTTCTTCCAATCCATGAGCATGAGACATTTTTCCATTTCTTTGTGTCTTCCTCAGTTTCTTTCATGAGTATTCTATAGTTTTCTGAGTACAGATCCTTTGCCTCTTTGGTTAGATTTATTCCTAGGTATCTTATGGTTTTGGGTGCAATTGTAAATGGGATCGACTCCTTAATTTCTCTTTATTCTGTCTTGTTGGTGTATACAAATGCAACTGATTTCTGTGCTTTGATTTTATATGCTCCGACTTTACTGAATTCCTGTATGAGTTCTAGCAGTTTTGGGGTGGAGTCTTTTGGGTTTTCCACATAAAGTATCATATCATCTGCAAAAAGTGAGAGTTTCATTTCTTCTTGCCGATTTGGATGCCTTTGATTTCTTTTTGTTGTCTGATTGCTGAGGCTATGACTTCTAGTACTATGATGAACTGCAGTGGTGATAGTGGACATCCCTGCCATGTTCCTGACCTTGGGCGGAAAGGTCTCAGTTTTTCCCCATTGAGAATGATATTCGCTGTGGGTTTTTCATAGATGGTTTTTATGATATTGAGGTATGTACCCTCTATGCCTACACTGTGAAGAGTTTTAATCAAGAAAGGATGCTGTACTTTGTCAAATGCTTTTTCTGCATCTATTGAGAGGATCATATGGCTCTTGTTCTTTCTTTTATTAATTTATTAATTGATTTGCGGATGTTAAACCACCCTTGCAGCCCAGGAATAAATCCCATTTGTTCGTGGTGAATAATCCTTTTAATGTACTGTTTGATTCTATTGGCTAGTATTTTGGTGAGAATTTTCGCATCCATGTTCATCAGGGATATTGGTTTGTAGTTCTCCTTTTTTTTTTAAATTTATTTATTTTATTATGTTATGTTAATCACCATACATTACATCATTAGTTTTTGATGTAGTGTTCCATGATTCATTGCTTGCGTATAACACCCAGTGCTCCATGCAGTATGTGCCCCCTTAATACCCATCACCAGGCTAACCTATCCCCCCACCCCCCTCCCCTCTAGAACCCTCAGTTTGTAGTTCTCCTTTTTGATGGGGTCTTTGTCTGGTTTTGGGATCAAGGTAATGCTGGCCTCATAAAAAGAGTTTGGAAGTTTTCCTTCCATTTCTATTTGAAACAGCTTCTAATCCTAGTTGGATCTTTTTCATGTATTTCATCATTCCCCTGTAAAGATTGTCTTTATTGGAATTCTGCCTCTTGCTTCAGGTCTTTTTTTCTTTTTTTATAATATTGGTTCTTTTTTTTTTAAGATTTTATTTATTTATTCATGAGAGACAGAGAGAGAGAGAGAAGCAGGCCCCCAAGGAGCAGGGACCCCGATGTGGGACTCGATCTCAAGACCCTGGGATCATGACCTGAGCCGAAGGCAGACGCTTAACCATCTGAGCCACCCAGGCACCCTTGCTTCAGGTCTTATTACTGAAACATGGCAGTTTTTAGACTTTTCCTCTCAACCTTGGAAATGACTATGTCATATTGAAGTTTGCTCTTTTTCTACCTGAACTCCTAAATTTTTGTCTACTTTATTGGGACTAGTGTTTTTTTCTACTCTTTTGGTAATTCAGAAAAGGTGATCTTAAATCCTGTTTAAAATGAGTTTCCCTTTTCTACTTACACTGAATTGAAAATAGATGCTTCATGGCCTAGAAACATGACTATCAAGTTATTTCCTGTGGGACATTATTAAATATCCCTTGGCAACAGCAATTCTAGACTTTAGGTTTTATCAGAATTGTCCAACACCATATAGGTTACACTTTAATTAGACCCTCAATTAACCGTAAGTGTATAAGTAATATCAGGATTTCTAGTTTTTTTGTTGTAATGTGCAAGGGGCTTTCAGCAGAATACTTTTGGATAAATGAAGTTTGGTTTAGAAAGGTAGACTGTTGAATAATTCAATGAATCAGAATGAGAATATAAATTCGACAGACTGGATGTTCACTCTTATATAAAAAGAGGTACAAGGTGGAATTTTGTTGGGAATTTACCATTTATGTTCCCCGCCTTTTTTTTTTTTCCCATATTGGTCTGTCCGCCTGGCATCAGAATTCTGTCCTCCTCTTCTAACAATTCACCAGCTCTTTTTCTGAATAAATTCTAGCAAATATTATGACTCAATAACAGGTTCTGGCAAGGGATAACTGTGAGCTTATCTCCCCCCCCCCTTTTTTTATGAGCGTTTAAAAGGAGTGGGAGTAGGCAAAACTAGAAAGAGTGACACTCGGTGAATAGAAGATTCTGGTAAATTCCCAGATTTCATTTATAGGAATCATGGTTTCTTTGGCTATAGAATAATTTCCCAGAATCGGTCAGAAGGCCCATTGTGCAAATAAAGGCAGAACAAAAAAAAAAAAATAAAAGAATAGTAGAGTAGATCCCTGATCTTATAAGCTTTCTTTATATTAGTAAGATGCCAACCATCTGAATAAAAAGTAAATAATTTATGTTCTTATATTTAAAAAGCTACAATTTCTATGATAACTATGAAATGTATGTTTCAGATGTACCTAATTTCTATTTGAAGTGAATATTACCAAAGAAAAACCACCAGTGTAGAAATTTTCTAATTTTGCAACCAAACAGGAATGGATTTGAATCCTGATTTTGCCACTTACTAGCTGTCTGTCCAATGAAAGTAAAAATAAAAGTTCTTGGCCTCAGTTTCCTCTTCATAAAATAGAATTATATATCTATCTTGGAGTCCTCTAATTCTGGAAAGAATTAGAAACAATATATGTTAATGCCCATGGTAGACACTTATTTATTAGTGGTTATTATTATCATTATTGTTTTTAATGGTATACTCTTGTTATTTATCCTCTACCCTCTACTAATACCTAAATGCTACTTGAGTGTATAGTAAATTTTGTTGTTTATGTAGCTATCACTACCTAATAAATATAAGGAAAATATAATGCTGACCAAACATAAAATTTAGATATTTTAATTGTAATTTTCTTTCTTTCAGAATTACTTACTGTCATCTACCTTTCCAGAGTAAATGGCTCTATGTTGGAACAGAAAGAGGAAATACACATATTGTAAATATTGAATCTTTCATTCTTTCTGGATATGTTATCATGTGGAACAAGGCAATTGAGCTGTAAGTTTGAACTTGAATACCACTTTATTTGGCTTGAATATTTCATATGGTTATGTAAAGCATGTCAAATTACAGAGTTATTTGAAACATTTATAGCTAATTTATGATTAATTTGAGTGAAAAGTTTAGCTAAAATAATTTAAAACTGTAAAGACTTTTAAAAATAATATTAACATATTCTAATTTTAGACTTGCTGAATACTTAAGGATTTCTGAATAATTAAGGGTTATGTATGTAAAATTTGATGATAAAATACTAAAGCTTATTCTAAAAGTTATAAATGGAAATCATCTCACTTTTTTATAGCCGTTCTTAGTATAGCCACTTCCAATGGGAATGGCAAGTGGATTGTGATCACATTTAGTTTTAGGTAAAAATAATCATGATTAGTTCACATATTTTTTATTGCCAGTAGCTCATTCTTCACTTGGCTGACTAACATATTGTTCAGGGTTCTAAAGAGAATTAACTTATCAGTATTTTTTATGTTGTGACATAATACAGCTATTTGGGTATGTGGTTAGTGGTAATTACCACTTTGATTTTGGCACTGATACTTAAGTTTATGCACATGTAAAACATAATGGAATTCCAAGCCATCTTTTTGTACGTAAACGAATAATTCTCCTGGTCACTGTGTTAATCAGAAAAACAAATTTTCTTTAATAAATGTTTATGCTCTGTGCATATTAGGTCCTTAATAAGATATGTTTAACTTGGGGCTGGCTCATTTTCATATATATATTCTGAGTTACATAATTATTCTCCAGAACTCTGATTAAAACAACCTATTTAAATGAGGCTTGAGTCTGGTCTTTATAATAAATCTACTATTCCCTATTTTTAATGTTTCAGTGTGCCTGTAGGTATAGGAAAGTTGTTACTAATTATATTCTTGTTACAATATTCCTTTTGTATTACGTCCTAATGGGTCTTTTGTTATTGATAATTCTCCCTCCCTGATTAGATTAAGAACTGCCCCAGGGCAAAAATCTTTGTTCACTGCTCCTTTATTTTTCTTTTAAACTTGGCTTATTTTGGTACTTTCCACAGAGTGGCTACTAAATGACTGATGCCATTATTGAAGAACTAGTATGATAGTTACACACTAATATTGACTTAGAGCTTTCATTTACAATTATAATTAGTATGTGCTATTTTACTGATACATGTTTTAATGTTCTATATGTGTATTTTAAAAACAGAATTATGTCTCCCAAAAAATTATTTAATTCTGTAGCTATTTGGGAAAGGTTTTACCATTATAACCTGAGTTGTATAAAAGTGGTAAATAGGGCTGAACTTAATGCTTGCTTTCATAATTTTCTTAGGACATTGACAAAAATGTAAATAAACTTGAGAGATTGAATTATAGAACTTTTATACAAATTTAATATTAGTACAAATAGTGATATATGTATTATTTGTTTTCAGTTGAATGCTGCTAATTAAGAAGTTCATTATCTAAATAGATCCAGTATTTCACCACTTTTGCTATTTTGTTTCCATATTCATATACTTAACAAATACTTTTCATAGTTTAAATTAATACTACCTGAATTAGTGACCTATACTTTATCTCTATGTATTTATATAGTCTAAACTTTATGATTTCAGGATTAATGATGAATTTAAAAACTAAAAAGGAGGGTAAAATTAAGAGAAACTAAAGTAAAATAAAGCACTTTTATTTTTCATAGTATGATCTTACACATTTGATATAGCATAAGAATAGAAACTACCATTTATATAAATCTGATCTGTTAGAGAGTTGTACATGTCTCTGAAAATGTCCTGAAATATCCTCTAGAAATTATTATTAAACATTATCATCTCCTGAATGTTTCTTGGTTTACTTAGACCAGTTTTCCAAAAGTATATTGCATGGAATTATAGATCCATTGTGATCTATATAATTTTAAATGCCAACTGCCAGTCTCCTAGAACTGTCTTTTAATTGTTCTCTACCTATTGAGATACATTAGAAAATGCATGCCACTTCCTGTTAATATGTGTCAAGTGTATGGGACAGTAATAAAATATTTGTTTAAAAGAGTCGTTTCGTTAATAGAATTTTACACACAGATTTTAACAATACATTTTCTAAGTATGGCAAATGCAGAATTGTCTTTAAGAGATATGTGAAATTATTTCGATTTAAGTTCCTACTTAAAATACTTTTTATTCAATGTTATTTTTCATTTTGTTTCTAATATTAGTGAAGTCTCTTAATTATAACTTTAGGCAGTTCTCATAATTATAGTTTGTGTTCCCAAAGTATATATATTGATTATTTGGAAACTGGAACACATTTTCTTTAGAAACAGTGATGTTTGTAGAACACCTCATAAAATAGTAGCATAGAACTAAATGGACATTAAAAATTTTTTTCTATGGGAAAATATATTCCAGGTTATACTCTAGAAATAGATGTTTCTGCAGGGCAGCCCTAGCTTTTTAAAAAATGTAACCTATTTTTTTCTACATATGACTAATGTTTGAGCATAAAATTGATTATTAAATCATAAGTGTAAGACTTGTGTATAACAATCACTCAAACATATTTATTGTGCACTATGGTATGCTAGATACTAGAAACAACTATGAACTGGGAAGACATAGTTACTGTCCTCTTGGGGCTCTCAGTCTAATGAGATTAATTAAAAAGGCAATTATAATATATTAGAAATAAAATGTGGCAATTCCATAAGAAGGACACCTAACGTGTGGTCTCAGAGAAGTATCTGTGAAGGAAATTACATCTATGTTGAGATCCGGAGCATGAGAATTTTAGTTAGTTGAGGGAAGACTTGGGAGAAAGGGGTGGGGGTGTTCTAAGAAGAGGGGATAGAAGATTTAAAGAATGGAATGTGAGAGAGTTTTTGTTCCCTGCACAGGAATTTTAAGTAGTTTAGTTGGTTGGAATACCTGAAAGAGAATATGATAAAAGATAAAGGTTGAGGAGAGGTAATCAGGGTATATAATATGAAAGGCCTTGTAGGCCAGTTTGATAAGTTTGGACTTAAAGGCCAGGAGCTGGATTTTGAAGGGTTTTAAGCAGAGAATTGACTTGATCAAATTTGCATTTAGGAAGACTACTCTGAAGGCAGGTATAGAGAAATGATTAAAGAGAGAAGACTGTATTCTTGATAAACATTATCATTGATTTAGGAGTGGAGATAAGCTGACATAATTAAATACATAGAAGATAGAAGAGGCAAGACTTGGGTATTACGGGAAGATATAACAATAGAGAAGAATTAAGAGTGGGGGCACCTGGGTGGCTCAGTCGTTAAGCGTCTGCCTTTGGCTCAGGTTATGATCCCAGGGTCCTGGGATCGAGCCCCACATCGGGCTCCCTGCTCCGTGGGAAGCCTGCTTCTCCCTCTCCCACTCCCCCTGCTTGCGTTCCCTCTCTCGCTGTGTCTGTTTCTGTCAAATAAATAAAATCTTTCAAAAAAAAAAAAAAGAATTAAGAGTGACCCCCAGGTGTTAGGCTTGAGCAACTATGTAGATAAGGGTGTCATTTAGTGAAAGAAAACAGGAGATTGAGCAGGTTGAGAAAAAAATAATGAACTCAATTTTAGGTAGGTTGAGTTGTATTGTTTATAAGACATTCAAATGGAGTTGGTATGGGAAAATGGTAGGAAGTGGGATATATGGATCTGAAGGTAATGAGATAGAGTATGGTGATTAACATAACATAATAAAAAATAAATAAAAGAAAGAAAAAGTATAAGAATTTGAACAGTTAAGAAAAAAAGAATTTATGGTCATTGAAAAGATGAGATTGTGCATGAAGAGTGTATAGAAAACAGGTAGCAACCTAGCAGACGGTCAACCAATTCTGACTCACAGATATCTGTTTTGTTTGGCTATCTGAGTATTTAAATATGTTCTGAGTTCTAATATTTGAAAATTGGTAGAGTAGAAATAAAAATTTGGATTTCCAGATTTTCATGAAAATTCATAATGAGACAATTCTAGTTCTCTATTCCTGCATGGCAGTCAGTAATCAGCTGGAACTGAGTGACAACTTTCCTTCTGTAGGTGGATAATGTGCTATCCAGTTTGGTACAGTTCTCATTCAGCCTGTTTGCTTCATTTGCAGTACCTGCCTGGCTCCTGTGTGCTCTTGAATTCATGATCATATATTATATGAGAATAGATGACAGACCGGGATAGAATACAAAGGAATATCAATATTTAAGATATAGGAAGAGAAAGAAGGCCCATAAAAGAAACTAAAGAAGCCATCATGGTAAATGAGAGGAAGAGAGATAAATAAGGATAACTAGAAGAATTATTGGGCATTATTTAGATGGATATTATATGATTTTAAGTTTAATTACTTTAGATAATTCTATCTAAAGTAATTTTTGTAGGAATTACAGAATCCAGAGTGTACACCAACACACCAGAGTGTACACAAATTTTTATTTTTTAAGTCAATTTCTAATGGCCATAAGACTTTCAAGGAATGCTTGATGGTTTTTGGAAGTATAATGTCAGGGGGAAAGTCAGAAAAAAATGTATCAAAATGTTAGTAGTCATTATATTCAGGCAGTAAAATAATATGAGAGATTTTTTTCTTTTGACTATTAGTATCTTCTAAGTTTGGAATTTTTTTTATAACAAATAATATATCTTCTATAGTCTGAAAAAGTCAATACAAATAACTGAAGTTTAATGCTAAATTATTTTCTGAACTTGAATGTTTTACAAACTCTGAGAATCTAAATGGAAGAGTTTTGCATATGGTCTAACTAGTGTTTCTCAAAGTATATTTCAGTTATTCCCTTAATATGGTCAATGAGAAATAATTCTATGGGCTAGTACTTTGGGAAAATATTGAAGATTTCAGTACTCACTTGCATATTATGGCTCTAAGAAGCTTTGTAGAAGAAAAAAATATTTAACTTTGTTTAATTCAGGGTTTCCCAAACTTTTTTTATATGGAACACTCTTTATGTGAAATACCTTATATATTCATTAGTTTATCATGGAGTACACTTTGGTATTTGTTGTTCTAATCATACCCAAGAAACAGGAATTTGTAGGTTATTGGATATTATTAGTTTCCAAAGGATAATTGAAGGACACTGTTCCCTATAAGAGGCACCTTACTATAATAAAACATTGCATTTAGAATGCAGATAATAACTCTAGTTTCCAATTATTCCAGTGATTACAATAGTCATAATACATACTATGCATTGAGTACTTACTATGTTTTGGCATTATATTAGGTGCTATATATAAATATTCTAATCCTTGTAATTACTCAGTAAGATCAGTACTACTATCTCCATTTTTAGATAAGAAAATTTAGGATAAAACCGATAACAAAATATCTAATAAGTCTGTATTTTTTCCTCTGAGTCACGGTGGGGAGTCAGGATCTGGGAAACCTGGAGTTAATTTGTCACTTTTATCTGATCCCAGAAAGTTTTAAAATTTATTCTTCTTTACTATTTTGTGAAGAATCTTTGATGGTTTTCATGTATGCATAAGAAATAAATTATATTTAAAAAAGAAATAAAACTATGTCAATATAATCATAATAGGATTAATCTGGCATAATTAGACTGTTGAAGAAAAGATGTAGAAAATGAGCAATAATAAATCTATGGTCATATCAAGTCATATTGTATTTAAACATGACATAATCATATTCAACAATGATATGTCAAAGTAGGAAATATAAAAGAAACATGCCAGATAACAGAGTAGAATATTTTTAAAGTCAGATTTACAGAGCACAGGTCTTTTTAACAATATGCACTTAGACACATAGCTGTTATTGATTACCCTGGATAACCAAATAAATGAGACATAACCAGCAAACTAGGTTTCCCCAGTTTGTCAGTTTTCTGTAAGCTGGCTATCACTAGACAGAATTTCTTTGTAAATCAAAGGAGCTATTATACTTTTCTTAGGAGCAAAATCAGAGGTTTTATGTCAAAGGAAGTTGTAAGTCAGTTATGTACTTTGCAATTTGGCTGAAACAGCCTTACAGCATTAGCTTTGTGGCCGTGTAAGTTTTCTTTGTCTGTATAAGTTCAATTTCAAATTTTCAGAGGCTTAGATCTGGCAACAAACATATAAATACCAATTCATAAATTCATAATTTGATGAAAAGACATAATTCATCTTGACTATTCATTATTTTTCTTTGATAATAAAGAAACAAAATTGATAACATGAAAGATCTAAAGCATCACTTTCATTATTAATATTGTCTCCCAAGTATATAATTTTTATGCTATAGAAATGAAGAATCTTGTTGTTATGTGGATCTATGCTCTTAAACCTGATTAAAAAAAAAATTACACCTCCTTTAATAGAGTTAATAAGAGAAAGAAAAGTAGTCTTAAAGAAAAACAATCAAAACTCAAATGAATCTAAGTTTAAACCTGAGAATATTGGGAGTGTATTCCAGAGTAACTTCTTTGTTCCAGTCTATAATGGTAAGGTGTTTTAATTTTTATTTTTTAATTACTATTTTTTAATTACTATTTTGAATTGATTTAACAGATCCACAAAGACTCATCCAGGTCCAGTTGTACATTTAAGTGATAGCCCAAGAGACGAAGGGAAAGTGAGTATTACAAATACCATTATTCTTGCATTTATTTTCCTCATTCTTGAATGAAGGTGTTTCTTACTATTATTTTGTACCTAACTTGTAGCACAGTTCAAAGCATTCATTGTTTTCTAAAATTATAATGTTGAATGAATGAATGAGCATATAATGAATAAATGAATTATTCACACTAATAATGGTCCCAAATTAAGTCTTTATTTTTACCTAGAGCTAAAGTTGGTATTTAATTCTAGAATTTTGAGGAAGTTATGGAATATGTGGAACAACTTGAATTTTCAAATGTTCTATGCTGGAACTTAACAGTATGTTTATCACTATCATTAATCATTGGCTTCTGCTATTCAGTTTTGGTAATGATAAATGGCCAATACTAAATAATCACAAATTAGCCAATTTTGATTTTATAAATAGGTAATTATATAGAAAATGTTCCGAGGTTACAGAAATAATCCTTATTCATTTTTCTTTTGATGATAAGGAAACAAAGTTGATAATATTAAAAGATCTAAAGCATCACTTTCATCATAAATATGGCCTCTTCAAGAATTTATTTTTTAGCTAAGTACCATAGAAAACACCTGAGTAAATTAGTTAGTATAGGTTTGCTTCTTTATTTTTAAATGATAAAAACTGAATTTGCCTAATAAATATTGAGCCTGAAAGTCAAGTCTGCCTAATGGTAATAGAAAGAAAACTGGATTTCTTCAAATTGATCCATAAATACAGTGTTATTCCAATCAGGTGTCATCAGAATTTACTTATTTTTAAAGAAATATTTCTAAAATTCTTAAGAAAAGGGCACCTGGGTGGCTCAGTCAGTTAAGCATCTGCCTTTGGCTCAGGTCATGATCCCAGAGTCCTGGGATCAGGTCCAGAATCGGGCTTCCTGCACCTTGGAGAGCCTGCTTCTCTCTCTGCCTCTATGTCTCTTTCTCTCTCTCTGTCTTTCATGAATAAATAAATAAAATCTTTAAAAAAAATAAAATTCTTAAGAAAAAGAAAATGTTTTTCTCCACATCCTCACCAACACTTGTTATTTCTTGTGTTCTTGATTTTAACCATTCTGACAGGTGTAATGTGACATCTCATTGTGGTTTTGATTTGCATTTCCCTGATTATGAGTGATGTTGAGCATCTTTTCATGTGTGTTTCATCTGTATGTCTTCTTTGGAAAAAATGTCTATTCCTGTCTTCTGCCCATTTTTTAATTGGATTATTTGGTTTTTTTGGTGGTGTATCAGTTCTTAATATATTTTGGATATTAACCCATTATTGGATATATCATTTGCAAATATCTTCAGCAGGTAGGCTTTTTGTTTTGTTAATGTTTTTCTTCACCTTACAAAAGCTTTTTTTTTTTTAAGATTTATTTATTTATGGGGCACCTGGGTGGCTCAGTCTGTTAAGCATCTGCCTTCCGCTCAGGTCATAATCCCAGGATCCTGGGATGGAGCCCCATGTCGTCAGGCTCCCTGCTCAGGGGGGAGTCTGCTTCTCCCTCTACCCCTCCCTGCTCGAGCTCTCTGTCTCTCTCTCTCTCAAATAAATAAAATCTTTTTTTTTAAAAAAAGATTTACTTATTTATTTGAGAGAGAGGGAGCATGAGTGTGAGTGGGAAGGAGGGGCAGAGGGAGAGAATCTTTTAAGCAGACTCACCGATGAGTGCAGAGCCCCACCCTGGCTGGATCCCATGACCCATGAGATCATGACCTGAGCCGAAGGAAACTTTAATGGACTGAGCCACCCAGGTGCCTTTGTACAAAAGCTTTTTATTTTGGTGTAGTATCAATAGCTTAATTTTGCTTTTGTTTTCCTTGCCTGAAGAGACATATCTAGAAACATATTTCTATAGCTGATGTCAAAGAAATTACTGACTATGTTTTCTTCTAAGAGTTTTATGGTTTCAGGTCTCACATTTAGGTCTTTAGTCCATTTTGAGTTTATTTTTGTGTATAGTGTAAGAAAGTGGTCCAGTTTCATTCTTTTGCATGTAGCCATTTAATTTTCCCAGCACTTGCTTTGGCAGCACATATACTAAAATTGGAATGATACAGAGAAAATTAGCATGGCCCCTGGGCAAGGATGACAGGCAAATTAGTTTTCCCAGCACCATTTGTTGAAGAGACTGTCTTTTCACCATTGTGTATTATTGCCTCCTTTATCATAGATTAATTGACCACGTAAGCATGGGTTTATTTCTGGACTCTATTCTGTTTATTGATCTATGTGTCTGTTCTTGTGCCAGTATCATACTGTTTTACTGCAGCTTCATAGTGTATTTTGAATTCTGGGATTATGATGTCTCCAGCTTTATGCACTGTTGGTGGGAATGCATATTGATACAGCCCCTGTGAAAAATAGTATAGAAGCTCCTCAAAAAATCAAAAATGGAAATACCATATGATCTAGCAATTACACTATTGGATATTTATCCAAAAACCAAAAACACCCATTTGAAAAGATATATGCACCCCTGTGTTTATTGCAGCATTATTTACAATAGCCAATATATGGTAGCAACCCATATGTCCATCCACAGATGACTGGATGGAGAAGATGTGGTATATACACACAATGGAATATTGCCCATCCATAAAAAAAGAATGAGATCTTGTCATTTGCGACAATATGGATGGATCTGGAGGGTGAAATAAGAGAAAGACAGATACCATATGATTTCACTCATATGTGGAATTTAAGAAACAAAACAAATGAACAAAGAGAAAAAGAGACAAGCAAAAAACCAGACTCTTGATTATAGAGAACAAATCTCTCATTGCCAGAGAGGAGGAGGTTGGGGAGAGGGGTGAAATAGATAAATGGAATCAAGAACACACTTATCTTGAGCACTGAATAATGTATAGAATTGTTTAATTATATATATTGTACACCTGAAAGTAATATAAGCTGTATATAAAAAAAGAAGAAAAATAAAATTAGTAACTATAAATTTTGAAAAAGGAAAATGTTTTAAGACATTTTTTATTTTATTATTTTTTTCTTCAAGTTTTTATTTAAATTCCAGTTAGTTAACAGTGTAATATTAGTTTCAGGTATAGTATTTAATAATTCATCACTTACGTACAACACCCAGTACTTATCACAGCAAGTGCCCTCCTTAGTACCCATCACCCGTTTAACCCATTCCCCACCCACCTCCCTTCTAATAACCCTTAGTTTGTTCTCTATAGTTAAGAATCTGTTTTCTGGTTTTCCTCTCTTTTTTTCCCCCCTCTGTTCATCTGTTTTGTTTCTTAAATTCCACATGTGAGTGAAATCATATAGTATTTGTCTTTCTCTGACTGACATTTCACTTATAATACTCTCTAGTTTCATCCATGTCATTGCAAATGGCAAGATCTCATTCTTTCCTTGGCTGAGTAATATTCCATTGTGTGTGTGTGTGTGTGTGTAATCTTTATTCATTCACTGGTCGATGGACATTTGAGTTCTTTCCATAATTTAGCTATCGTTAAAAAGAAATGTAGTACATTGTGATAATTGGAACAAGGGGATACAAAATGACCAATAGATCTAAATGGATATTCCAGAAATGGTTCAGACATTTGATGCAATTTTTGGATATTTTAGAGAAGATGTTTTAGGACATAATAAACTATTGAATAAATGGTGTTGAACAATTGGCTAACCATTTTGAAAAAAAGAGTAACCTACCTTACACCATTCACAGAAATAAATTCCAGATGGAGAAAATGTTAAAATCACAACTCAGAATGTTTTAGAAGAAACTATAGGAAATGGGTTTTTACTGTGAAGTAGGGACATCCTTGGGCAAGACATAAAACCTAAAAGCTTTAAGGAATATACCATAAGACAATCATGATAAGAGACAGACAAGATATTTGCTTACATATATAGTAGGCAAATAATAAACATGCAAAATATATAGGAACTTGTACTAAATCCTCATCTCTTTTAATAGGAAATCAATAGATAACATCTAATTAATACATCAAGAAATGGCAATATAAACATATTTAGAAATACAGGAGTAGGTCTACTAGAAAAGACAATTATAAGAGTTGAAAATGTGGTTGCCTCTTACCTCTAGAGAGCAGAGTTTGGCTGCTGAGAGGAGGAAATGGTCTCACTAATAATTACTAGGGAAATGCATTATCCCATATTTTCCACATCAGACTGGCAAAATATTAAAAATATTAATAACATCAGGAATGGAAAATATTAATAATTGAGAAATGGATATCTAGATATACAGTAGTAGTAGGTATATATACCAGTATAAGCAATTTGGCATTATCACCATTTAAAACATATATTCATTATGATTTAGAAAATTCATTTCAGATGTCTATCCTATTTATATGACCAAGGGGCAAAATACTGAAAACAGCCTAAAATTCAATTAATAGAAAATTGAATAAATGAGTGCTAATATATTCACACTGTAGAATGCTGTACTGATATGGAAAGTTCTTTAAGCCATGATTTTTAAAAGAAAAGTTGCAGAACAATAAGTACACTATAAAACCACTTGAAAATGCATTTGTATTTTTATTATATATACAAATACCCAAGAAAAAAGTCCTAAAAGTATATGTACAAATCTGGGGAGGATACTGGAAATTGGAACTGGGGAAAGTGATCAAAGGTATTATTTTCTTTGTGTTCAAATTTTTATGAAAGAATATAATGTGTTAATTATGTAATTAAAATTAAAAGGAATGCAAAATAAATTAGTATTAGAGTCAGAAGACTATATGTTTGAATTGTGGCTCTACTACTTATTAGCATATAATCTTGAATAAATCATTTGACTTCTTATAGGCTAGTTTTTCCATCAATAGCCTTTTGACACATAGGAGTTTTTTATTCAACTTTATCAGTCTTTTCATTTGATTCTTGCATTTTGTTTCTTATTCAGTAAATCATTTCTTCCTGAGGTAAAATATAATACTTTTTTAAAAAAATATCAGTTTTAAGGCTCTCCATTTCACAATTAGATTTTAACCTAA